TCCTCCTGGAGTCACAACAAGCTACTACACATGACATAGCTAACAGCAGAAAGAATCAAAATCAACATATAATAGAGATATATTTACTCAGGTCTATAGCATATTAGTACAAGAAAAGAATGGAACTGAAGACTGTCATGTCAAATGAAATATGCCATATTCATGAAGACAAGTATCTCATGTTTTACTTATATGTGGATTTTAGAGAAAACAACAAGGAACACTGTTAGAAAAGAGGAAGACTGTGGGGCAGTGGTGGCACAAGCCTTTAATTCCGGCACTTAGGCAGAGGCAGAGAGGCAGAGACAGGTGGATCTCTGAATTTGAAGCCAGCCTGGACTATAGATCAAGTTTCAAGATGGCAAGAAACCATCTTGAAAAAAACAAAGCAAAACAAAAATCCAAAACAAACAAGAAAGAAAAGAGGAAGATCAAGGAGCATGGGGAAGCTGGGCGGTGGTGGTCCACACCTTTAATTCCCAGCACACAGAGGCAGAGGCAGGTAGAGCCCTGTAAAATCTCTTTGTAGATCTCTGGTCTATAACCAGATCCAAAGCTACACAGAGAAACCCTGAATCAAAAAAAAAACAAAAAAACAAAACAAAAAAAAAAAAACAAAAAAAAGATATAAATTAACTTCTAGAAGGAAAAAAATTAATGTTTTGAATATGACTTCTTTTCACAGTATTTACAAAAAGGAATGGCTATTTTGTAATTCGAAATGGATGTGTAAAACTTTATACAGTCTTCCAACTATAGCAGCAATTATAAAGCTAAATAAAACTGAATAACCATCAGATCAACACTAAATAAGTACATCAATTCTCAGATGAATTCTCCCCTATAAATTGTTCGATTTTTTTTTTTTAGTTTTTAGTATATCTGAATAAAGTGTTATTTTACAAACCGATTTCAGTTGGCTATTTTCATCTTTCAGTTTCACAACATGCTTGATTTTTTGCTTTAGATTCTGGTGACCCAGTAGTTCTGCATAAGAATCTCTAATTTTATTTAGCTGTTCCTGAGTTGCACCACGTTCATTCAACAATGCCTGCTTCTCTGCTTCAAATGCATCCAGTTGTTGCTGGAAAAGATACATATACCAAAATATGTTTGTTTTTAATGACATTAAGAATTAAAATTATTTAACTTGTGTGTCCTTCTGCTTCTGCCAACCCCAGTAACTAAAAGCATTTGTGTCCAGGTCTGAACTAAAACTGTTAAATCTTATTAAGTTCATACAATGCATAAAAATAAATAAAAAATAACACAAGCAGAAGCCCCATTTTTCTTGATGGCTCTTTAAATTCTCTAAGAAAATCTTTTAAGCTTTGCATTTTTCACCTTAAGTATCATCAAAACAGAAAAGCAATAAAGAACCAGCCAGCTTTCTTAATCTATCAGCAAAATACCAACTTTAGGCTTTTTTGTTATGCTTTTGAGACAAAGTCTCACTATGTAGCCCTGGCTGTGTATTATCAGGCTGGCCTTGAACTTTATCTGCCTGCCTTTGCCTCCTGGGTGTTGGGATTAAAGGCATCCGACACCATTCCCACCACCATTTTCTTACAAAAAGATCAGAGTATTAACATGTATGGTGGTCAGAAGGCAGAAGTAGGAGGATCAGAAATTCAAGGCCATCTCCAGTTACACATAAAATTCCAGGAGAGCCTAGGGTTTCAAGAACACAAAGATAGTCAGGCACAGAGGCTAATCATACTCATAAGGCTAGAACTTGGGAAGCTGAAGGAGGACCATTTCAGAACCCAGGTCAGGCTCCTTGGAACAGCAAGTACCAGGTCAGCCTCTATTACAGAGCAAGACTCCATCTAAAGACCAAAGGACAAAATATAGTACAAAGATCAGTACAGTAACTTGAGAAATATTGAGATGGATCAAATAAAAATACACATCATAATTTAACAGGTAAAATGTTCCTATCAGGAGAGCCTTAAGGCCACTAATTTCAAGTTGTTTATTAGAAAGCATTTCTTATATCTACATTAAAATTTTATTTTATTCTGGAGCTCTATGAGTTGAAGGCTAGTTTGGTCTACATAGAGAATTATAAAACAGCCAGAGTTACAAAGGGACTCTGTATTCCTTCCACCCCACCTCCAATCCCCCAAAAAAGGAAAACAGGAAGTAGATGGGGTAGATGAGTATGTATGAAATAACAATATGAAAACTACTAAATTTGTCAATTGTATTTCAATAGAACTAGAGGAATTACAAATTGTAATTTTTAGCCCTTTACTTTTATTATTTTAATTTTATTGTTTTTATGTAGTGCTGAGAATTGAATCCCGGGCCCTGTATATGTCAAGCACACTCTACCACCAAGCTCATGCCCAGATTTAAAAAGAAACACAACCTTTTTTTTTTTTTAATTTCAAAATAGAATTTTTCTGTGTAGCCTTGGCTGTCCTGGAACTCAGTCTATAGACCAGGATAGCCTCTAACTCTAAGACCTACCTGCCTCTGCCTCCCAAGTGCTGGGTACCAGATAAAATATGAAAACTGTTAATATGTGGTTAAATTGTAACCATGACTACATAGTGAAGATATACTGCAGAAGCACCAATTCATAGTCAAGATTAACAGGAAAGAAATATTCTTAAAATAGACCCAAGTTTATTTGAAATATTCTTAAAATAGATTCAAGTTTATTTGTGAATGGTATTTTGCCTGTATGTATGTCTGTGCAATATCATGCCCATGCAGCCTGAAGCAGGTGCTGGATCCCCTGGAATTGCAGTTACAGCCAGCTGGGAGCCACCACATGCATCCTCTGAAAGAGCAGGTAGTATTCTTAACCACGGAGCCATCTCTCCAGCCCACAAAAAGTTGATTATATGCAGCAAACCTGAAAAGGCTTAGTCTTGTTATATAGTTCTTCATAAAGGAGTCGCCATTTATTACTTTCCAAAGTTAACTCTGCCACTGCATCTTCTTTCTCTGCTTTTCTGTATGGGAAAATCAAATTTAAAAAAAAAAATTATTTTTTAATTTATTAGAAAAAAACAAAACAAAACAAAAAAAAAAACAATGCATTACATGGCACCTCTTAGGTCTAAGCCTGAATTACCTTGCTTCTTCCTCTTCGAGTTGTTTCTTAAAGTCCTCATCCTGTTGTCTGAGTTGATTTTGCAAATCAGCTATTTTCTTAAGAGACGTAGATGTGATTTCTTTAATTTCTTCTTCTTTCAATGTTGATCTGTTCTGCAGATCTAGAAGCATCCTTGGGTTTGAGAAAGAAGAATCCACTAAACATCTGACAGACATTTCAATTTTTATCAATTTCTTTTCGGGGTTTGCAAAAAATACAAATCAGTAGAAGAAATCCTTAAAAGTTGTAATTGTAACTGGATGTGTCAGGACTTGCTTTTAATTGCATCACTTGGGAGGCAGAGTCAGGCAGATTCTCCATTTGAGGCCAGCCTGCTCTACACAGCAGGTACCAGCCAAGACTACACAGTGAAACCCTGTTTCAAAACAAAACAAACAAACAAAATTGTAATTTTTTTCTTTAACTGATGTGCTTGTGTTACGCACCTTGTATATTCTTGATTTGTGGTCTCAGTTGTCAGTATCTGGTGTTGAACATCTTCTACGCTTTTTTCAGCCATGGTTACTTTTTCTTGTAGAGTCAAGTTCTCCAGCTTAAGATCTTCTATTTCTTTAAGTGTTGATGCTTTATAGCTTATTAGAAAGAAAGAGTTAACACTTTTTTCTTACTACTGTATACATGACAAAGTTTAGATTTTATATGCTTCTTTTTTTTTTTTTTTTTAAGGTTTTTCAAGAAAGGGTTTCTCTATGGTTTTGGAGGCTGTCCTGGAACTAGCTCTTGTAGACCTGGCTGGTCTCGAACTCACAGAGATCTGCCTGCCTCTGCCTCCCAGAGTGCTTATATGCTTCTTATAAAAACCTTATAACATTTTCATGTACTCACACAGGTAAGAATTCAGTACTCTGATGGGAATACTAACGAGTTTACATAACATTTTCTCTTTAGGAATCTCTTGCCTGCATGTATGTCTATGAGCTACATGTGTGCAGTATTCAAAGATCCAGAATATGACATCTGATATCCTGGAACTAGATAGAGTTACAGATGGCTGAGACACCAATTGAACTTAGGTCCCTTGGAAGAGCATTCAGTGTCCTTAACCACTGAGCTATTTCTCAGTGTCCTTGACCTTTTTGTGGGGGGAAAAAAAAAAAGAAAGAAAAGAAAATAGGGCCGGGGTGTGGTGGTGCATCCCTTTAATCCCAGCACTTGGGAAGCAGAGGCAGGTGGAGCTCTATGAGTTGAAGGCTAGTTTGGTCTACATAGAGAATTATAAAACAGCCAGAGTTACAAAGGGACTCTGTATTCCTTCCACCCCACCTCCAATCCCCCAAAAAAGGAAAACAGGAAGTAGATGGGGTAGATGAGTATGTATGAAATAACAATATGAAAACTACTAAATTTGTCAATTGTATTTCAATAGAACTAGAGGAATTACAAATTGTAATTTTTAGCCCTTTACTTTTATTATTTTAATTTTATTGTTTTTATGTAGTGCTGAGAATTGGACTGTGAGAGGAGTTATCTGAAGAGATGGACTGTGAGAGGAACAGAATTTTGGGCTAAGAAGATGCTGGGATGAACATCAAAATACAATCATATTGACTAAAAACCTTTCTAATTTTCTCTTTTGCTTTCTGAGTTAGGGTGACACTCTGTTGGACTAGAAATCACTATGTAGCTCGGTCTGGTCTCAAATTTACTGTAATTCTGCTTTAGAATTCCCAAGCAAAGGAGTGCAGGAGTGAGTCACCAACCACAGCTGAGAAAAATTAAGAGACAAGAAAGAAATGATACTATATGGTCACTGAAGGTTGAAAAGACTAAAATATTAGCTTCCACACACAGTGGAGCATTCCTGTAACATCAGCAATCAAAGGCTGAGGTAGGACTGCTGTGTGTTTGAGACCAGTCTGAGATATAATGGTAGTACCAGGCTAACCAGTGCTATCATAGCAAGAGAAGCCAAGGAAGAGGGATAAGTGTTGGGGGAAGAGGGGAGAAAAAAAAAACAAAGAAATATAAGACTAAGAAATCATTGAATAGTGAGGGAATAAGATAAATGTCAATGTTCCTAAGTTAGGTGAAGATATAAAAGCTTTATATTTTATTTTTTAAATGATGCTATCAGGAAAGTAAGATAGGGGTGCTAAAGATTAGCATGGGTTTGAACTGGATGGTAGGAAAGGGGACATCGACATAAGGTGACACTAAGTGTCCATTTATGGCCAGTCATTAATGAATTTATGATAATGGCAGTCATCCTCTATAGATTGCTTTGTTCACAGATTTCTGTAGGTAAACACTTCTCCCCACTCATATATTCCATAGTGAACACTACAAGGAAAAATACCTTTCCAATTGAGCAGTAACATCTCTAAGGTCTTGCACTGTGTCATTATACCTCTCCTGTAAAGTCAAGGTGGCATGGATATGAGCAGCGTTACTTTTCTCCAGCTCAGCTTCTTTCCTAAGAATAAGGAAAAAGTACAAAAGACTAGAAACTGTGCACCATATATCTCATATGATTTTTCACAACAGATAGTGGCTGTACAATTTAAAAGTACCCATTCATGACAACCTCATAGCATGACGGTTTTACTAACTTATTTACTGGCTTTTTCTAAATATAGATTTCTGGATTTCTTTTCATGTCTCCTGCATATATAGGTAATTTAGGGAAAAGAACAACAAAAACCCAAAAAGAACCTGTAAAGCCAATATTACAGAATGGTCAGGTCTAAAGACTGAATGCAATGCTAGCTAAAAGCACATAGATTTATTGAGTTTAATTCCCTGTACTGAGACAATAAATACTACACAAAGTTAAAAGACACCACATTAAAAACTCTTTTGAAAAGTTGTTACAGTACTATGTACATTTTTGATTATATGATTAATCCACACATGCTGTTATCACTTAATTTTGTTTGAGATAGGACCTTGTTGTACTTAGCCCAAGTTGGCCTTGAATTCTGGATCTTCCTGTCTCAGCCCACCAAGTGAAAGGATTGCACATGCCTAATACTAACAAGATCCTGAACAGTTTTAGATAGTAAAAAAATAGGTTTTAAGTAATTTTTCTAAATGTACACTACAAATTTCAACTACCTTTTTCAAATACTGTACATTATTAAAATGCTATAACATGTTTGGATGAGAATAACAACTTGTGAAGGGTCTCTAAAAGAATACGGTGAAGTAAAAATGAGCACTGAACAACTCTCAGTGGAAGCCTCAAATAAGACAAAGAGCAGATCACACTCGGCACAGTGAGGAAGGAGGCCACAGTAAAAACAACCAAATGCTATTAAGTGGCTTGTAATAATATTTCCCATGTCCCTTAGAAGAGTGACTTTCAGTTCTTGTTTTTTAATGTAAGGCTAAACTAAAATGCCTAGCCTAAGGACCTGAGACTTCATCTCACACAGCACCTAACAAAGCAGAATATGAAGGCATCAAAAACCACTTCTCTTGGAATTGCACAGCTAACTAGTTAAGCTAACAAATAAAACTCTTGTGAAACCAGATCTCTAAGCTGTTGAGTTCATAATCCTAAAACAAAGACAATACAGGGCTGGCTGAACTCTCTATTGTTTAGCCAGTAAAATCAGGAAAGATGAAGGTGTTAATAGGTCTAATCTCAGCACCTGGGTTAGGGTATGGGAATCAGGAACTCAAGGACATCTCAGCTATATAGTGAGTTCAGGATCAGCATGGGGTACATGAAATTCTTTCTCCAAAGCAAACAGAACCCACCTCCCAAAAAAAGAGTAAAATGAAACTAATTTATACAGAAAATTCAAGAAATCAAAAACAAACAAAAAACCCCCACAAAAACTAAAACACACAAACTAAATTTAACATGACTACAAAATACAGAATGAACAAATATCAAACATGTCTGTATACATGGAATACTAAATTATAAAATCAATGGCACTTCAAATCACTCCACCTACAAATGAACACTGGGTAATAAAGACATAAAGGATCTGTAAATTAAAAACTGTCTAAAATGCTAATAACTGGAACCAAAGAGGGACTCAGTGTAGAGTCGCTACTAATGGATTGGAAGACATAAATTCCATCCTATGATGGCTATTCTTGGTTGTGAACTTGACTATATCTGGAAATTAACTAAAACCCACAGCAATCACTCACATCTGTGAGTGATTTCTTAATTACATCAATTAAAGTGGGAAGACACACTTCTAATCTGCATCTTTGAGGTGGGAAGAGCCACCTCTAATGTGGCCCACACCTTCTGCTGATAACCTATAAAAATGACATGGAAAAAGGAAGCTCTCTTTCTTCCTGGCTGCTTGTTCTTACTAGCACTCCATTCACTGACATTACTCACTGACATTAAAGCCTACTTCTTTGCGATTCAGGGGTATACTGAAGACCAGCTGAGATATCCAGGTTCGTGGTCTGAACAACTCTTGGATCCTTGAACCTTCATTCATAGGTAGCCATTGCTGGATTAGTTGGACCACAGTCTATAATCCATTATAAGTCCCCTTTCTACATATAGAGACTCATTCTCTAAGTTCTGTTACTCTAGAGAACCCTGACTAATATGCATTACTATCTCAGTGAAATCTCTCATAGACTAGATGGATCTGAAATTCTCAAAAAGACACAGGCGCTAAAAAGCAATTAAGTTTTGA